CGGTACCTCCCGATATTCCGTATTTTGATGATTTTAGCGACATTATTTACCGGAATTGTTTCAAATTTGGTATTTGAATTTCGAAATGGATACTACAACCTATGACAGCAAATTGTCTGCGCAGGTCCACATCTTCGTATAGCCCCCATATAACAGTACCTTCCGATATTCGGTATTTTGATGATTTTAGCTACATTATTTACCGGAATTGTTTCAAATTTGGTATTTGAAGTTCGTAATGGATACTACAGCCTAGGGCAATAAACTGTCTGTACAGGTCCACGTCTTCGTGTAGCCCCATTTAACGGTACCTCCGGATATTCGGTATTTTGATGATTTTAGCTACATTATTCACCGATTTTTTTAATGTGCCTATGCAGGTCAATGTTGTCGTATAGACCCTAATATAACAGCAACACTCGTTATTTTTAAGATTTTAACAGAATTTTTAACGGATTTTATTGTTTTAGAGAATTGCCAAATCCGAATGGTGGACGGTATTCAAAATTTGGCCCGGCCGAACTTACAGCTTTTTTACTTGTTGATGTTGATAAATTCAATTCAAAATCATTGTGTGAAATGGACAAAATATCTATCGAAACATATCGCTACTTTTTGACAAAATGAGCGAAAGGTCAAAAATCAAAAATATGAATCCGACAACGATATTTTTCTTTTGGGAGGCCCCCCTAATCTGGCAGTGTGATTCTCTAATAAGTTAACGGCAGGATAAGCGACAATTACCGGTAATCGTATTTTTTTAAATTTCTTTTAATTTGTTAATTTCCAAATTTTTCACAACTAAAACCTTTTTCTCAGATCCATAGTACTATCGTAAGGATAACATCGACCCATAAAAAATACATACTGGATACCAACAAATGTGTTTAAATAAACTAGAATGTAATAAAATTACATTGGATTTGGAATAAAATATGCCACCATATTTTCACTTTTTAACCTTTCTAAAAAGGTTGGTAATTTTTAAAAACAAGAAAATATTGTTAAATATGAAAAGCTGAATTGTAAAACAAAACAAAGAAAAAAAATCCAACAACAAAAATATAATTATAAGAAACAGGAGCTGAAGAAGTCGACGAAGAAGAAGAAGAAATATCAATGTACCTTTTTTTAAAACAGGATTTTTTATATACATTTGTAAATGAATAAATTAATAAAATTAAAATAATTAATTAAATAAGTTAAACTAAGAAATTCAATTTTAAAATGGATTAAATACCACAAGAAACACTACAAAATACACTACATATATAAGTTTTATTTGGTAATTTAAGAAAATAGAAATAATAAAATATTGTTTGTTTTTTATGGAATAAAAAAGAAATATTCTTAAAAGAAATAAAATATTTTTTCTAATTAAGTTTTTATATATGAATATACAAGATTTCAGTCGTTTTTTTAGATTTAAATATTTTGGTAGTCTGTAAGCTATGAAATAATGTTAAATATTAAACAAAAACTATTTTATTTATTTTTTCAAGTTTTTTTGTTTTATTTTTTTTCTTCTGATTTTTTTTTTTCGTCAGATCAATAGACCAAGTTTTGTTTTGAATTTTTTAATAGCCCACAAATATTTGTATATATTTAGAAAACAACTTGTAAAAAACACCCCTATGTACATCAAAACTAAAAACCCCTATAGTTAGCACAATAAAAATTTTAGTCCAATGAAAACAAAATTGATGGAACTTATTGCAATTTTAAAAATTGTTTTTTTTTTTATTTAATGAAAAATTAATTTTCGATTCCTATTTTATGTCCCAGAGCAATTTCTTGTCCCAAAAAACCAAAAAAAAAAAGATTTGAATGATATTCGTTGAAATAAATGTGTACCTACAAAAAACAAAATAATTAAATAAAAAAGAGAAAAAAATCTATATAAAATATTAAATAAAATATTATGTGTGTGGAACATAAAAAATATAAAGAAATGTGTTTTAATTTTAGGGCCAAAGGGACATAAATGAAAATACATAATGAATGCTGCTTAGAAAGTATTAAGTGGTTTTTGGCCGGAAAGTATTAAGTGGTTTTATTGAAAATTAAAAATTGTTTTTGTCTAAAAATTAGGTACAAAAACTTATATTTAAAAAATGTCTTTGCAATTTTTCCAGGAAGAAATTTTTAAAAAATATTAAAAATGGTTAATTTTCTCCGGGAATATTTTTTGTAAAAAATATTAAAAGTCAATATTTTGTAAAAAAAAAAATTACTATCAACAACTTTTGTCCAGGAAGGACTTACATACTTTTTAAAACAATCTACTAAATTCTTCCTGGGAGACCAATTTAAAAATAAAAATTAAATATCAACGGTTTTTGCCTAGAAAGATTAAGATTCTTGTCCGGGAAGACTTTTTTAAAAAAAATGGCAACATATTAAAAAAAAAATAATAAATAAATAAAAATAAGGTGAAAAATAGAAATACTTATACTTACTTAAATAAATATATAACGATTTTTTTTCAGGAAGACATTTAAAAAATAGAAATGGTTAATTTTTGTCGGGTCATATTTTCTTTTAAAAATATAATAAATCAATATTTTGTAAAAAAAAATATTAAAAATCAACAACTTTTTTTTCAGAAAGTCCTTGCCTACATATTTTTTTAAAAAATCGACAAAATTCTTGCAAAAAGACATTTTTTAAAAAAAAATAAATCTCAATGGCTTTTGCATAGGAAGATTTTAAGATTCCTGTCCAGCAAGATTTTTTTTTAAAATTTTGCAAAATATTTTGAAAAATAAGATGAAAAATTAAAAATACTTACATTTAAAAATATATATATGTTCATTTATGTTAAATATTAAAATGATTATTTTTTTGTAAAAATATTAAAAATCAATATTTTGTAAAAAAATAGGAAGAAATGTTTTTTAAATATTAAAAATGGCTAATTTTTGTCCGCGAATAATTTTTGTAAAAAAAAATTAAACATCAACTTTTGTGTCTAGGAAGTTCTAGCTTAAATATTTTTTAAAACTCTACAAAATTTTTCCTGGAAGAGCAATTTAAAAATAAAAATTAAATATCAACGGTTTTTGCCTTTTTGACCACTTTAAGATTCTTGTCCAGGAAGACTTTTCCATAAATTTTGTAAAATATTTTAAAAAATAAGGTGAGAAATGGAAATGCACAAACTTGAAAAAAAGTAACGATTTTGTTCAGGAAGACTTTTTTTAAATATTAAAAGTGGTTAATTTTTGTCCGGTAATATTAAAAATCAATATTTTGTAAAAAATATTAAACATCTACTTTTTTGGCCACAAAGTCTTTGCTTACATATTTTTTAAAAAAATATACAAAATTGTTGCCGGAAAAAAAATAAATAAAAATAAAATATAAAAAATATACGTTTTTTTTCCCTGGAACACTTTGTTAAAAAATTAACGATTTTTGTCTGGGAAGTATATTTTTACGAAAGTATTGAAAAAATAAATTTTTTTAAAGACATGTTAAAAACCGAAGATTTTCTTCTCAATGACCTTTTTAAAAATTATAAAAAGGTGCGGGATCTTTGCGCGGGAAGACATTCCTCTTCTAGAAGACTATTAAAAAACCAATTACTTTCGTTCTAGAACACTACAGAGTGAGATGAAAAACTGCAACCAACTTCAGACTGTTATCATTTCTAAGCCACTCGTCCGACAGCTGTTAAAATTATTCCAGTGACAGCTCAATATATTGTTTACAAGCGTACAAAAGCATTTTGGTAAAAAAAAAAGTTTTTCGTGATGGAATTCAAGCGTGATAGTGTGATTTCTTTATATTTGGCTGGAAAACCGCATGTGGCTGTCGTTAGAGCACTCCAGCATTTAAATGTGAATAAATCTTTTGTGTCTCGTACCATCGCTCCAATGCGTCGTGAAACTGGTATCGTAGCCTGACGTCAAGAGAGTGGGCGGAAGAAAACAGCAACACTAGTAGAAATGGTTCGAGAAGTAAGGAAGCGACTCGCAGTGGCCAAAAAATGGCTCGTGAGCTGAACATATCGCAATATTCCATTGGGCAAATATTGAAAAATGAGCTCGGGGTACATCCGATTAAAATTCCAAAAAGTTCAAGAACTTAAACCGCAACAGAAAGAAAGTAGACTCAAAAGAGCTAAAGAGTTGCTTCACTTGGCCGAAAGTGGTGAATTCCCGAATTTTGTTTTCTCCGATGAGAAAACATTCGTTGTCCAGCAGTTTGTAACAAACAAAATGATCGTGTTTACTTGCCAAAGGGGTCAGCTGAAAATGTGAAAATGTGCACCTTCGGTTGGCCACCAGAAGTCAAGCGCCGGCCATGGTGATGGTGTTGGGTCGCCATAACAGCCAATAGTCGCTCTTCGTTCGTATTAATCGACCGTGACATCGGAATAAATGCCGAATATTATCGCGAAATTATTCTGGAGGGTGTATAAAAGCCTTGGGAACGCTAACAATTTGGCCGCAGACCTTGGACATTCCAACAGGACTCAGCACCATCGCACTCAGCACACGCCACCCAAGAATGGTTACAAAATGAGATTCCTCATTTCCACCGCACGATGGCCACCAAAATCTCCGAATACCAATCCGTTGGACTATTGTGTCTGGAGTATTTTGGAAAGCAATGTTGGCACTAAAAAATATCAAAGTGTCGATCACCTCAAGCAAGCGTTTCGCCGGGAATGGGCCAAAATACCGTAGAGCAACATTCGGGCAGCGTGTGACGGTTTCATTGGCCATTTGAAGGCCATAATTCGTATCAAAGTTGAGCAATTCGAACAAATCTAAACATATTCTAAAATTTAATGCTATTTCCGACATTTTTTGCTTTCATTCAAAGAAAAAAAAAATAAATTTAAATTGAATTTGTTGCAGTTTTTTACACCTCAATTTAGTGTCAATTACTCTCTTATAGGTTTTCTATACATAACACTTTTAACATGTCTTGATTATTTGAAATACCTCCCCGAATACCTTTCAGATTTTTCACAAAAAAACAGGAGTGCATAAAATAGGATCCTATATTTATTTTTTTTTTTTTTTAATTATGTTATACACTGTTTACATTTATTTACACATTTCCTTAATATATATAATATATGTACGTCATTTCCCACTCAAATATATATATCCACATTTGTCATCAATTCAATATCCCCATTTCCATTCCGATTCAATTTTAAAAGGTAAACTTAATGCCCCAAGTACCATCGGCAGTACGATAAGGTTCGGCTCCAAAACGTACTGGACTCTCGCTATCAGCTGGTGGATTTGAGGGATTCGAATCATTCGATTCGGCTGCTTCAGGTTGAGGATTTTCAGCAGCTGGTTGGGGCTGTAAATACAAGGAAAAATTATTTTATTTTATGAAATTTCAGATGAAGTTTCGAAATTTAAAATTTTTAGTACCTTTCCCAAAGAGAGGGCAACCAGAGCGAAGAACAAAAAGATGGCTAGAAATTTCATGTTTGGTATTTTCAGTTGAGGTAAACTTAGGGTTTGAATTTAAGCTTCAATTGGTTGAACTTATATACTAAATTTTACATTAACCTAGGGCTATGGAGTTTTCTTAAAACTATAAGTTATCAGCTGATTGTTCATGAGAATGCAAATTTATCTATTGTGGAAGTAATTAGTGGTCTTATATGACATTGATAAATTGCAGTTCAATCAGTTGCTAGAAATGGTCCGAAACTTTTCGTTTTGACAAAATACGACGTCAGAGCAAGTTGTTTATCAAGAAGAATTGTCAATTAAAATTCAATACAATTGCATAAAAAATATGTCTAAATCAGAAGCAAGCTTGAAAATGGAGGATCCGGGTTTAACTCCACATTGGTTATACTAAATATTCGAATGGATCAAATCTGGGCGGAAATTATTGGATTCAATATTGGAAGCCGACATTTTCTATTAAATCGAACTAAAAATGGCGTATTAAAAATTTTATTTTGAAGGGAATTTTTGGGATAATTTTGACCCACCCCTAATTTCCGTGAATTTATTATTGATACCAAATTCGATGTCGATATGTGAAAAATTTTAGAAAATTGTAATATATATCTTTATATATTTTTGATTTTTAGTTATTTTATTCGACCTTTATTTTAAATTATTTCAACTGTAAGTTTACTAAAATTGAGCTCGAGGTCTTTGTTGTTTTTTTAATAATATTTATTCATTATTATCGATATTTCGTTCTCCGACGGAAGACATCAACAGGAATAATATTTAAACATAATAACAAAAATATACAAAATCTCGCCAAGTACCGAGTCGTCAAATTCAACTGCCAATTCTCCAATTTTATTGAAATACCAGGTGCCCAGAATTAAGTAACAAGTGAGAGAGGCAAATAAAAAAAATTATAGAAATTGAATCTGGCAATTCCTTAACATTAACATATGATTAAAATTCAAAGCCTATTTTCAGGCGCATTAGTTTTGACTATTAGCGAATATGGTGTTGCCAGTCCACGTTGTTGTAATAACAGGTGCTGCCAGATCATATTGAATTATACCCTACGACACTATCGGTCTGTTGTAGAACTGCAAGTAAGTAAAAGTTTTTACAACGATAACCGATTTTCCATATATGATATCGATCCTTGCTGGTTCTGGAACATAGCTTATGTGTTGGACATATTATAAGTTTGATTGGGTAAAAACAACTCAAATATTGGTCCTAGATCTCGAAATATTGCTCGTAGACCCAAATATCTCGCAGAGCAGAGTCGATCTAGCTATGTGCGTCCGTCCATGGAAACCTAATGGGTTTTAAGATAATAGCGACATATTAAGGGTTTGAAATGGAACCAAACATTTTCCCGGTTTTTGTAGTCGCTTCACAGGTCACAATTAAAGACCAATCGATGCGTAATTTCGCATGAGGTTAGAATTTAGAGCTGGGAAGATACCTAGCATTTTTAAACGGCATCGGATAGTATTTATTCATTGTAAAATGGATCACTATTTTTGTGTGAAATTGTTTTAAAAAACCTATCAGCATGACAGAGGGCGTAAATAAAGCGCAAATGCCAGCGGTCAAAAACAAAAGATAAGTATGGTATTATTTCAAAAATAAGGTCGACATGATGTTTGGACCTACCTTGCCTACAGATGTATACCCCTTGCCTTTAGTTATGATTATTCAAGCTGTTGACTCTTTATGGGGGATGTTCCGAAGCAGTTGGCCCATACTGACCAATTTGTCTGTCTGACGTAAGACTGATATAAATCTTACAACGCGCCAAGTTTGGACTATATCGACAACATCCTATACATTTTTTTTTTAATTTTTATTGAATGAAAGCAAAATATGTCGGAAATAACATCAAATTTTAGAATAAATTTAGATTTGTTCGAATTGGTCACCTCTGGCACGAATTATAGCCTTCAAACGGTAAAAATGCTTTGTAGGCTTGTAAACAATATAATGAGCTGTCACTGGAATAATTTAAACAGCTGTCGGACGAGTGGCTTATAAATGACAGCAGTCTGAAGTTGGTTGCAGTTTTTTCATCTCACCCTGTATAGTACGCATATCCAAGACCAAGTTCTTTTCTCAAACACAGATACACTCTCCCAATACCCAAACAGTACTATTTTGTACATTTTCGAAACCATCTCAATATCTCTACTCCAGATACCAATATTGACCGAATTTAGTACAAATAAGTACAAATTTCCATAGCAACCTGCATCATACAAAGCCAATAGAAATCTCATTTAACAATTTTAGGATTTCAGCCCTATCGGTTCGCCCAAAATCCAAATTGTACCAAATTTAGTACCATTTAGTACACATAAGTACGAATTTCGAAAGCTTCGTACATACCCCGATCCACAGTAATCTCAATTACAAATTTAAGGATTCGGATCGCCCTAACACAAATTGTACCAAATTTAGTATTTCAGGATTGCAGCTCTATCGGTTTGCCCAAATCAAAATTGTACCAAATTTAGTACATATAAGTAGGAATTTCCAAAACTTCCTACATACCCCAATCCTACACTCCGACATAAGTCTTATTTCCTAATTTCCGGAATTTAGCCCTATAGGTTTGCACAAATTCAAATTGTACCAAATTCAGTGCCATTAATTACACATAAGAACAAATTCCAAACTTCAGGATGCCAACTCTACAGGTTCTCCCAAAATTGTACCAAACATACCATTTAGTACACATAAGTACGAATTTCCAAATTTGCCTACATACATCAGTCCTACAATGCAATAATAATCTTATTTCCAAATTTCAGGATTCCATCGTCAACGGTTCACCTAAAATTGAAATTGTATCAAAAGTTAGTACCATTTCGTACACATATATACAAATTTCAAAAACTACCTACATTTCTCAGTCCTAGAATGCAATAATGATCTTATTTCTAAATTTGCAATTTCCAACTCTATCGGTTCACCCAAATCGAAATTGTTTCATTCATTAGTACTTTTCGTATACATAAGTACAAATTTGTTACAGCAATGTTAATGTCAAATTACAATATTCCTGCTTCATCCGTTCGTCTAAATTCAAATTGTACTAAATTTAGCATCGTTTAGTACTTTTTGTGTACATGAGTACACACTTCCAAAACTACCTCACCTCGTTACATCGACTCTGAGCAGAAACTTGATTTCCATTTCAATTTTTTTAGTTCTAGGCATTCACGAAATGTTACCAAATGTTGTACATTTTAGTACTTTTCGTACACTTATAGTGCGAATTTCCAAAAACCCTTTGGTACACATCTCATACACTCCATTAGTGACTCTCATTCCAAATTTAAGAGTTTAGGATCTACAGCTTCTCGAATAGAAAGGGTACCATATTTCGTACCTTTTAATACTTTTCGTACCGTGCTAGTACGAATTTCCAAACCCAACCTTATCTCACCCCTTCGGATCAAGTCTTACTGACCCTCACCCAAAATTTCAAGATTCTAGCTTCAACCGTTTCGTCTGGGCGTTGATATCGAATGATCTCTTTGAGTTTGTCATTAAATTGACGATGGATTCTCAAATTTTACTGAAATACCAGGTGCCCAGAATTAAAAAAACAAGAGAGATACCAAAAATTAAATATAAGAGAATTTCAGTCTGGCAGTTCCTTAACATTTGCCCAAATTTAAACTTCAATGCCTATTTTCAGGCGCAGTAGTTATTGCGATTACCAGGCCAGGTTCTTTTAATAGCATACTTAAGAGCGCTCGTCAAATTCCGGAAAAAGATGTTGCCAGATAATTTTTTACATTTTTATCCAATTAAATGTATTCTTATTTAAACACCAGGAGTTTATAAATATTAAAAATACATTTTAGGGTTAAATCGGTACTTCATTTAAGTTTATTCAAAATTCTCCTGCAATTACTTTAGAATGATGTCTTCAAAGGCAGAAATATTTTTTTATCAAATTTCTCGCTTAGCCACCAAAGAAGAGAAATCTCTATTTCAATTGTATATCAGAAAAAATATATATATTTGAGTTTATATAATAATAATTCATCATTTAATCCTCAAATATCCGTTGACGTCGAATCATCATAACGACATGTTTCATAGAATTCCACAACTCCAGCCAATCCCTCCAATAGATGCCATCGGCAAACTCCCCCTTATATTTGGCCAGGTGATAAAATCCCGTGGGAACACTAGAATAAGAAAAAAATGCTAAATTACCATGAACAATTTTGAAATTCTCCTTCTCAACTCACGTCCGGGCACAACTCTTGTACCACCAACCACCTTTGTGGGCGGTGGCACAATTCTGTGTATGATTATCATTATCCTCATCAAAGGTCGTAAAGGCAGCTCCCAAAGAGTACGACAAACTATCTCCAGCATTACCCGAATATTTACCCAACACCTTCAATTTATACTTCTCATCGGCACCGCCAATCACAAAATGATCGTCAATCCCACGGCAGCGGGTTCTACGATACCGGATTGACCCGAAACAACAAGATTCCAGTTTCGGCCAGCGGCTGCCAACCCAGTATGTACATGTTTGTGTTTGTTTATTTTTCTGCATTGGGAGCAGCATATCCCGGAATGCTTGCTCCGGATTTTATTGGTCCGTGCCGGGATTGAGGAAAACCCCGGACCTTGGTTCTGCTCGGTTTGTCAGAACGTCATCCACCACAGATCTGTCTCGGTGCGATGTAATGGATGCAGAGAGTGGGTGCACTTCAAGAACTGTTCCGGATTAAGGCGTTTGCGAGACTACAGCGAAAGGGATTATGTTGCGACTTGCTGCAGTAACGTAGTCCCCAGCGAGTCCTCTTCTTCGTCGTCCTCGTCAGAGACGTCGTCGGAGTATGGCACTCCACCGCAGTCTCCAGAACAGCAACCAACACCGCAGCACCTAACGCCACGTGTTGCTGTTCCAACTCCGGATTGTGCATCATTCTTGCAATTCAATTGCAACGGACTTCGAGGCAAAATAGATGAGATAGTGGAATTTATGAGTCGGAGGAATATTAAGATCGCAGCGGTGCAGGAAACCAAGCTGAATGAAAATTGCAGCCTACAACGTTGTTATGGTTACAACGTACTAAGGAAG